CCACTATGAATCTTAAATGCGCTTGTCCTTAAACTTTGCCTGCATTCCATTGTTTAGGAATGCTTGCATACAACCTAAACTATTGACTAACACATAACACCTCAGTTCAACGCAGACAAAATCCCAAATTTGTCAGACATAGCAGTTCTATGCAGAAGTGCCACTTTTATAAATGATGAGAACCTGAAATTGGATTACAAGTAACCTTTGGCTTTCCATCAGTGAGACAATAGACAATGTTGTTAAGGGCAATTTCCATGCACAGCATGTGGGTCCTGTTTCACCGTCCAGGGACATGGTTGTATACTGCTCACAACTGTTTATGCATGTTAAGCAGCCTCCCCGAGAAAGCCTTCATAAATCTCGCTTAAATGTCCCTTTATAATTACCATTTCACTTACGCATTTTTTTTTATTTTGCTTGTTGAGGGCAGCTGATGCTTTCTTTTCAGAAATAGAAATTGCTGTATTTCAGACCTAGAGAAAAAGCAGAGAAAAAGCCTGGAATCAAAGGTTAAAAAGCAATTTTTAATGACATTTCATTTTGGTCAGTGGAAAAGTTTTTGTTTTATGCTATATACAAAAAGCTTGATACCAGTTGTACTAAATGAAGACTAAAGTCTAACATTTCTACATGATTTAGCCTAAGGTAGCTATTGTTAAAAAAAGGCCACTCCAAACTGATATTTTAGCAGTTGGTAGATATTGGAGAGTTGAAACAAATAACCATTTCAAAGATATGTTGGGAGCTCTATTGGTGAGATATCCAACTTCCCACATTTGTGCACCTGCTGTAGTCATTATGGGCTCCCACTCCCACTTTTTCTGTTGTGATTTTTTATTTTATATTAAAAGAAATGCAACAGGAAGAGATGGAACATACAAAGGTGGGCAAATTCACCCAAAACCTCCAGATGGACAAGAAAAGAGTAAGGAACATAGAGAGGTCTTGTTGAAGTACAAAAAAGCCAGCAGCTGGCTTGGTCCACCAGACTCCATCTATAACTAGAATTTTTTTCTAAGTGGACTGATCCTTTAATATAATTATTGTTAATCAATACAATTTATAATTTTTTTTTAATCTTAAAGCTTTTTTGGCACTGCTTCTCCTGGGGATGACAGGGATGCAGAGCAAAGTACTAAAGCCTGCTGTCAGCAGATATCACTCAGCCAGTCCAGACTCTGGAGAGATCCTGACTTTAATGTCAGGATCCAACCAGATGACTGAGCCAGCTGTTCCCGCCACTATCACAGCCAGATCTCCAGTGAGCGCTGTAGGGGTAGACAGAGACTGACAGTCGCTGCCGCTCACTGCTCCCTGAAGACTGAGAACTGGTCTTTGATCACTCAGTTCTCATTGCATTGGAGCGAGGCTGCATCCACCTATATCCAGCACTTCTCTTTTGAATATTGTGCACTTATTCTTGTTAGAAACCTGAATATTCTTAGCTTAAAATAGTAAATAGTTTTTTGGGGTATAAAAATTGTTTTAAGGTACCTACTAAGTGCATAAGTGGAACCTCTATCTTTACTCGGTATCTATAGTACAATTTGACAGATGACAGCATACCCCCAGATCACTTCCTGATCACAGGAAGTAAATCTTGCACCTTGTGATAGGGTTATTTTATTTGCTCTATGAGAAATATCAATTCCAATTTTTTATTTTATTTCTAATTTTTTTTTTGCTATTGCCTTTTCCAGTATATCCACACACTGGACTGTTATCATCCGAACACTGACAGCATACAGTGAAGGAAATATGTATTTGATCCCCTGCTGATTTTGAATGTTTGCCCACTCACAAAGAAATGATCAGTCTAAAAATTGAATGGTTGGTGTATTGTAAAACTGAGAGACAGAATAGCAACAAAAAATTCAAAAGAAATGCACGTCTAACAAATTATGCACTGATTTGCATGTTCATGAGGGAAATAAGTATTTGGTCCCCTTCACAAAAATATGACTGAGGATTTGGTGGCAAATCTCTTGTTGGCAATCACAGAGGTCAGACGTTTCCTGTATTTGGCCACCAGGTTTTCACACATGTCAGGAGGGATTTTGGCCCACTCCTCTTGGCAAATCCTCTCCAAGTCTTCAAGTAAGGTTTGGTGGCTAACGTTTGGCAACTCAAACTTTCAGCTCCCTCCACAGATTTTCAGTTAGATTAAGGTCTGGGGACTGGCTAGGCTACTCCAGGACCTTAATGTGCTTCTTCTTGAGCCCCTCCTTTGTTGCCTTGGCCGTGCTTTTTTCCATCATTGTCATGCTGGAACACCCATCCACGATCCATTTTCAATGTCCTGGCTGAGGGAAGTAGGTTCTTACCCAAGATTTGACAGTGCACTGCCCCATCCATCGTCCTTTTGATGCGGTGCAGTTGTCCTGTCCCCTTAGCAGAAAAACACCCCCAAAGCAGAATGTTTCCACCACCATTTTTGACAGTTGGGATGGTGTTCTTGAGGTCATAGGCAGCATTCCTCCTCCTCCAAACACAGCGAGTTGAGTTGTAACCAAAAAGCTCAATTTTGGTCTCATCTGACCATAACACTTTCAACCAGTCCTCCTCTGCATCATTCAGATGTTCAATGGCAAACTTAAGATGGGCCTGGACATGTGCTTTCTTGAGCAGAGGGACTTTGCGGGCACTGCAGGATTTCAATCCTTGTTGGCGTAGTGTGTTACCAATTGTTTTCTTGGTGACTGTGGTCCCAGCTGCCTGGAGATCATTGACAAGATCCTCAAGTGTAGTTCTGGGATGATTCCTCACTGTTCTCATGATCATTGACACTCCAGAGGTGAGATCTTGCATGGTCAACCAGACCTAGAGAGACTGACAGTTGTTTTGTGTTTCTTCCATTTGCGAATGATTGCACCTGTTGTCACCTTCTCACCAAGCTGCTAGGCGATAGTTTGGTAGCCCAGTCCAGCCTTGTGTAGGTCTACAATCTTGTTCTTGACATCCTTGGACAGCTCTTTGGTCTTTGGCATAGTGTAGAGTTTCTGGCCTGATTGGCTATTGATCAAGTGGACATCTGTTCTTATCAGTGTCCAGTGGGATTGCTCCCGACCATTCTAATTGCGGGGATGGTTGTTGTATGAAAGTACCCTGGTATCCAGAAATCCTGGAATGATGGGGGTCCAAATACTGGACCGGAGGAACAGAAACCAGGGGGCGCCACGATACGCTCTCATTGGATTTTTTTGGGAGTAATTCCTCTGGGAAAGCTGGAAAGACCCAGTACCATTCTGATATTTGACTGATCTACCTTTGTAAGTGGGCTGGGGACATTCAAAAAAGCAGATCAAATACTCAGTGCCTTCCCTGGGGAAGACGCTCTCAGGGGTGTCACTAGTAACAGGTTTGGGTGTGTGACCCCACGGTGTGAAGATGACAAATGGCCACTGTTTTTCAAAACATTCACTTTTTGAATTAAGGACCAGGTCTTCTGCTAAGTCCAGGGCAATTTTTGAAGTTAACACTAGGGCACTGAGCTGTGCACAATTCGGAACGCTACTTTAGTTAATCATCCCACTTTTATTTTTTTTTCTTTTACTTTATCTTTACCTTATTTATTATGCACTGTGGAAAGTTTTTTCAGGTTTATTACTTTACTTATGTGTGTGTTTTGTCACGGATGGAGGGTGTGTTGGTCCTCGGGCCAGAAACCTGAAGTCTAGGGGGAGGTTTGTGTGCTGCACCCTACGGTTCCTTCCTCCCCTGGTTCCCTGAAGGGGTTTTCTCTTCGGGAGAACCCCTTGCCTAGTACTGGATGTCTAATTCTTCGGTCTGGAGGCATAAGGAACGGTGGTCCACCAGGCTCCTTTTGGCCAGGAGGACCAAATGGGAACCTTGTAACCTGTCAGGAGCTTCACAACCGGCCCGGGGGATGTTCAGGCCAACGATTTCTTCAGTTCCCTTCCGGAACAAATTAGGACAGGGGGTACACACCCCTAAGTGCACTTTTTCGTGTGGATGTTCGCACTTGCACATTTTTTGTGATCACTTACGGGTTTTTCGTTTTTACAAGTAGTTTGCATGTTTGCAGCTTTATAAAAAAAAAAAAAAAAAAATAGTGTAGAGTTTGGAATCTGATTGTTTGATTAATCCTCTGGACAGGTGTCTTTTCTTACAGGTAACAAAATGAGCATTAACAGCACTCCCTGGATCCAAGAGAAACAAATGCTTTTAATCTCAGCTTTATAGCCTGTATGAAAGACACCTGGTTATCCAGAAATCCTGCTTTTTTGATAGGAGTTCAAATACTTATTTCCCTCATGAACATGCAAATCAGTGCATAATTTTAACATGCATTTCATGCATTTTTCATTGGATTTTTCTTGCTATTCTGGCTCTTAGTGTTACAATACACCTACTGTACCATTCGATATTTAGACTGATCATTTCTTTGTAAGTGGGCAAACATTCAAAACCAGCAGGGGATCAAATACTTATTTCCTTCACTGTATATGTATATACCTGAGCTCTTGAGTACATAGGTTTTTGTAATAGTGTCTATGTTCTATGCCAGCTCAGAAAACCTGTTCACATTTCAAAACATTCACAAAATATTTGGAATTAAAAAAATCTTCTGAATTAGTTGGTCATTTGAAGTTAACACTAGCTCACTGAGCTGACATGAACGCTACTTTAGTTAATCATCCCACTAGTTGAATATTTTCAGTGGTAGTAAATACATTCTCACACAAAAGCAAGCACTCTGTGGAAAGTGCATTTCAGAGGTCGGTATTGCTGTGCAGCACTTGATTGTTGTTCTTGTCATAGCCATTTGACATAATGAATGAGTTGGACACACCTTCTCCCAGAAAAGCTGCTTGTCTTATCTAGCTGGAGAGTTTGTATAGCTGCACCTCTAAGTACAAAAACTACTCAGTAACATCTTCTGGTTTGCTGAAGCAGCCAAAGCACAGCTGCTCTACTGAGAAAAGAAGCTGGAAAACTGAAGATAACTTTATAAAGTCTAATTCTTTTTTAAGATTATGTCTGGAGTTTTGCCACCTCATTCTATGAACTGGAACTATATGGAATATTCAGCATCAGTCCACCATACAGCAACTCCTTATGTTTATGGGGGTCTAGGAAGAAGTTTTCTAATAGATAACCTGCTGAGAGATGTAGCACAACCGGCTACAAAGTATGTTCCAGTGGCCAACAGCATTTCTTCAGTTCCTCTGTGTCCTGCAGCAGAACAAATTAGCCCATCAGGGGGTACACATCCTACATCTTGGGCTTTTCACCTCGTTAAACCATCAGATGGACTGCCTGCTCATTATCCACATATCGAAGCCCTCTACCACCCTAATTCAGGTAAGTTTCTGATATTTACAAGTATATATAAATAGTACAGCTTTATATACAAATAGTACAGCTTTATTTAGAAAACCAGAGATCCTTAGACATACTTGGGCATATTTTATGTTAGAATAAATAATCTAATTACTGCTCATTCTTGCAACAATTGTCAAGCACCCATACTGGCCAGCCACTGGATCCATGATTCGAAACAAATTATTTACTCAGAAAATTTATAGCCTGCTGGAAAAAAACAATTACCTAGTTTTGCACCTGAGAAAGCTTGTTTTTTTTTTTTTTTTTAAATCCTGTGTTGGCCTATAATAGAAAGTGTTAGCTGAATCTGTCTCATTGCATGCAAGAATTCAAGAGTGTATTATTTAAATATTATTTTTATTACTTATTTCTCATAAGCAAGTACCCCAGGGTCCTAGGCTTATTGCCATGTTTCTAGATACATTTTTGTACTAATACTACTACTACTAATAATCATAATCACTATTCATCATCGTAATATAGAAGTAGTGGTAGTAAACCAATAGAAGGAAAGCTCACAAACAGATTCATTACTTTTCAATCTGTCTAATTTGTGAAGGACTGTACAGTTTAGAAATCCAGCCAATCAGGATTCATGAATTGTATGATTCTGTACAGATCTGACAAATCTGCATGCATACATTCTTTGGAATGTAAAATATGGCAGTTCTCAAATTTGTCAATTCTCCTGCATTTCAAACCAATTCTGTAATTACTAATGACAGATTCACTTTATTAATATATATATAGAGACACAATGGCACCACATCATTTGTATATTACTATATAATATCTGGATAATAAGAAATATATGTTCTACAGTATGCTGTTCTTGCAAGATATTTCTTATAAAGAAGTATGCTCTTTAGACATTTATTCTACACACTGTACATAATAATATTCAATACAGTGCATTGAATTCAAGATGCAATATGTTTATAAATCAGAAGTGTTCACATAATTCACACATAATTAAACAATAATATGATTAATTAATGGGACAATGATTTAACGTTTTTCCTGAAACAAGCCAATGCGACATCTGGCACATACCATCTGGTCTAAAAACAATGATTGTATGCTTACAGACATTCTTATACACATAAAAATAATACAGAACTTGTGTAAAATAGAAATTAATTTAGCATGTTGTGCGTTTGCATTATTCATTTATTAGAGTTTTTCAACAACATCAGCATTTTGAATGAAAGTTTATGAATTTGCTATAATCTTGGCATTGTTAATCTGTCACCTATAAAAGAAAACGTGGAAGATCTGCAACGTAGTAATTCCTCAACATAACATTTTTTTGCTGAGTTTGTCAGATCATTGATTAATATTTAATTGTAGTAAAAAAGTCAACATTGTGAAAAGCCTAAATATATACAGTAATTCTACTAGACCATTCACTACAAAGTGGCATTGATTTAAAGTGTATGCAAACCCTAACATTGGTCTTCCACTATTTGCTCCTTTAGGTCTGTTAAATATATATTGAAAATGTTTAGTTTTATCTGTTTGATCAGAGCAAAATTTGCCTGTTGATCCTGCCAGAAATCCTGTGAGTTGATCCTGCACACTCTGTTGCATTTTAATCAGTTGGCATTCTTCCCAGATATCTCTTTGGACTACAGCCCCCCATGTTTTAGAGAACAGGAATGGAGGAGGTGTTCTGTAGTTCTAACACACATTCTTTCTTTCAGTGACAATGAAAAACTATTGGAAGCATCCCTAGGTGAAATAAAGGGAAAAGTTTTTAAAAAAGAAAACCAATGCCTCCACTACATTGCAGGCGTAGTAAACTTCAGTCTATAAAAGTTTTTGCATTTAGATTTGGTTTAAAGTGTATGTATTGGCAATATTTTTGCAGTTTTGAATAGAGTTGGGCAAGGGTTGGACCCTCTGCCCAGTTTTTATTGTGGTATATATATATATCCCCACTGTGGAAATTCACTCCTCTTTTGGTTCCTGGTGTACAGTGTCAATGAGGAAGAAAGCTGGTGGAAACCTATATTTTTTTTGTCAATAGATAAGGGGCAAATCTTCCAGTGGGGACAAATGTTCCAGTGACAGCTGTCTACAATGAGAATTCCCTTTGGGTTGAGGAGATTATCCTTCATTCCTGTTGCATTTCCAAGACAGGAAATTAAGAGAAATATTCCTAACAGGATACAGGCAAAAAAAAAACTGACAAGGGTCTTATCCTCTTCCTTCTTTTTTCAAAACTACAAAACTGACTAGACATAAACCTTAAAGTGTTACTAAACCCAGGACCCTGCATTCACTATATCTGGTCTCCACACTACATAGAACATGGAAATGCAATTATTTTAGTAAATACAAACCGCTAAATACCTTCTCTCATCAGCAGTATATGTCAGTTTTGTGACTTACATCAGTGTCTGACTGAGCACTGGTTAAAGCTTGTAGGAGGAGTTTTCATTCTGTTCTGACTATCCTATGATGCTGCATAACCCCTGACCCCTGTCTGGACAGCACTAATCGGCCCAGTTCTGGTCACATGAACCTTCACAAAGAAATAAAAAGCATTCTATTAATACGCACTAAATTGAGCATGTGCAGAGTGACCCCTAGAGCTCTGTACTATCAGAAGATGAGTTGGGGACAGTAGAAGAATGGGTCCAGAGGTGTCCAGTTCTATATAGCTTTTATGCAGCTGACAGAATCCTTTCTGTAAAAATTTCAGAAATTTAAACAACAGATATCAGTGAAGATTATTTATTCAGTGCCCATGTAACTTTTCAAGGTAAATTTCTGCCACAGGTAAGTTTATTCTACAATACTCACATTGTAGAAAAAGAGAGCACACCTACAAGGTAATAGGTGCAGACATAGGGGTTGGTTTACTAAAACTGGAGAGTACAAAATGTAGTGCAGTTCCAGGTTGTATTGGCAAAGCTTAATTGAACAAGCTGACGTCAGAAGCTGATTGGCTACCATGCACAGCTGCACCAGATTTTGCACTCTCCAGTGTTAGTAAATCAACCCCTATGTCTGCACCTATTATTTTTTTTTTATTGTGGTATATATATATCCCCACTGTGGAAATTCACTCCTCTTTTGGTCCTGGTGTACAGTGTCAATGAGGAAGAAAGCTGGTGGAAACCTATATTTTTTTTGTCAATAGATAAGAGGCAAATCTTCCAGTGGGGACAAATGTTCCAGTGACAGGTGTCTACAATGAGAATTCCCTTTGGGTTGAGGAGATTATCCTTAATTCCTGTTGCATTTCCAAGACAGGAAATTAAGAGAAATATTCCTAACAGGATACAGGCAAAAAATGTTAAATCCAGTGTTAGTAAATCAACCCCTATGTCTGCACCTATTATTTTTTTTTTATTGTGGTATATATATATATCCCCACTGTGGAAATTCACTCCTCTTTTGGTCCTGGTGTACAGTGTCAATGAGGAAGAAAGCTGGTGGAAACCCCTATGTCTGCACCTATTACCTTGTAGGTGAACTCTCTTTTTCTACCATGTGATTAAATCAACCCTATAATGTGACACACACACACACACACAAAAACAAAACAAATAAATAAATAATAATAATAATAATAATTAAAAAAAAAATGTATATATAAAAAAGCCAGTTTCAAGTAAATATGGAAAGTCTTATCTCACCTTAGGCCTTAGGCTTCCCTTTGGCCAGATTAACACTGTTGTTTTGTGGTAGGACACAGCAAAGCATGTATTACACAATGGTGCTTCATTTCAGATAGTGAAGGTTTGCTATGTTAAATGAAATATTTAAAAAATATAAATTGTACCTATTAAAAATGTACCCTTTGTCTTGAATGGAAGTGCACTTCCAGGTATTTAGGGGTGTCTAGGCCCTCTTAATAACAGAAGCTCAAAGCAGTTTACCTGCAGCGTGAGATCTAAGGCACTGCTGCCTTGGACTGCTAGTTTTGGGGGGATTTGAAGTGAAAGTTAGTGATGTCATGAATATGTGGCTCACTGTTATCATTGCTGCAGACTCTGACACAAACAAGCAAAGCCCTGCCTCCACCAAGAAGAACTCATCTATACATAGACACTGTGCAAATGAAGGAATGGCAGGTAAGTAAAGTGGGAAATATCAGCTGCAGGAAGCCCACAGGAATTACTGGTGACTAGTCATTTTCCTTCCTGCCTTTCTGAGCACAATCAATTTACACTGTGGCTGAAAGGGGCACTTGATATCATGGTATCATCTCATTTCTAGAGTTCCCCAGCAGACACCTATAGTTAAGGCTTATCTGGATGGAGAGGTGACCAGGCATGTTGGTTCAAATATTTCCCTCCTAGAGAGGTGACACTACAGGTGTTTACAGTACAGCTACCCCCTACCCACCTAAATACTCCAGTAAATGTTTGTCTTTAGGAACCTGGTAATGGACATAAATGCTTGAGGATGGTCAGATTCAACCTGTATGTCTGACCTCCTCCTGATATATATGGTAGCCTTTACCTTTCCTTAAAGATAACACTATATTTTTTGTAGAAAATATCCATTTTTACAGTGGTCATCTTTTCCTCCTGACTATAGACACATTTCATTTCAGATCTTATCTGCTAAATCAACTGACTTTACTAACAACTTGTAATGTGAAGGCCTGCCATCATTTTCATGTGAAATTTGCACAACTAACACTTAATCCAGTAAACATAAGTATGATGAACCAGAAATAAACAAATATTTTTAGGGGTCATTTGCTAAGTAAAGTGGACCTTTATATTCTTCAATAATTCTTGGATAATGTGTGCAAGGAATAAAAAAAGGCGATTTTTTTCCTGCACACAACTGGGTTAGAGGTCCTATTCACTTTGTTAATTACTTTTACATAACTTTAATATATACGTATATTCATGCTTTATTCATTACAGTATATACTCCTAATCTTTCTATGGTTTTAATTTAATGACACCTTGGCAAGATAGCAAATGCAGTACTTTGTGAATTTATTTGATAGAAATTGCAACAAGAGATCTTGCCAAAAAATCTATATACATACTGAACTTTTCTTTAGTTCTAAAATATTTTACTGGGGAAATTACCATTAATTACCATGTCCTGTTTCTACACTTTTTGCAGGTGTTTCCAAATACTTTTTTCTGCAGTCATTGCCCTTCTACCCGGCATGCTGCGGTGGGTCCTGTCAGCATCCTGCCTCCCCCACTGCTTTTTCAAGTAAGTCTTTATGCTTCATCAGTAATGCTTCAGTTATTTTGTAAACCAAAGCAGCAGGATTTAATGGGTCCAAGAAAGCTAATTGGTGATGCAATGGAGAGGGTCTAATTCCTAAGAAAAATCACAGCAGTCTCATTCAGGGTCTCTTCCGAAGATTTATCCTATATGAGAGCTGAGAACAATTGAAAATACTCCAATGGAAATGAACCGGCAAAAGAAAAAGCTAATAGCTTCCTTGCTGCAAAGATATATGGAACTTTCCTATTCACAATAAACACAGCTCAAGATGCAAGAATATATAAAGTTAAACTAAAAAGTTAAAGGAAATATTTTTTATTTGTGAAAAATATGTAATGTACTATAACTACCTTTAACATACAGTATACTGTATATATAAAATCAAAATTATGATAATTGAAAAAGATAAAATCTTAAACACAAATCTGTATTAATGAACAATTTGAAATATGTTCTTTCTAGAAAATACCTGGACAAAAAGTATAAAATAATATTTATAAATGGTGTTTATTGCTGAATTATACAGACTGTGCCCTGTGGGAAATGTTCAGATCTGACATGCCTTGTGGGAACAGTAGACCACTACTGAACAACTTAAAAAATAGCATTAAAAAAAAACATGCCAGGAAATAAAATTGCCCCTGTTTACAATAGATAAAATAGTTCAGACACACATATAGGCAAAATACAATAGGATAATACATATTATTTATAATGTTTAGCATTTTTTTGTTCTATATTACTGTATCAATCTTTGCATTTAAACTCAAGTTGATTCTTGTACTGCAATATTAATCACAATACTTTGTTCGTTTTTTTTTCTACCGTGTGTAGACAATATATTTTATTATTACTGGCATTACTATATTTTGAAGGGTAGTTAAAGTGAATGATTTGTGACAAGTGAGGCAGTAAATAGTTTAATGACCTGCAGGCTTATGGCCGTCTCTCAAGGGGCTGACACTTTCCCACAGAGCCTCTCACTGGGCCTGGGTTGCATTAGAATGGATGACAGGACCGTGACCAATCGGCACTTTCTCTTTACTCATCCACACGCGACTTAACCACAATTTTTCACTGTGCAGATGAACTTTAGAAACCATTTTATACTGAAAAGGCCTTACCAAGGGTCATTTGCCCCTTTGTACTGCCATAAAGCAGAGATCTATATGCAATCTTTTATCCTGTGTCACATTTCAATGGAAGCCCTGAACCCCATTTAAATACTTGACTGAAAAATAAAGCAGTGAATGAAAATGATTTTATATAGACTTCTTTAAGCTCATCTTTCCCTATAAGGTCTCCTACCTGAAAAGGGATTAGAAGCATGAGATGAGTATATAGAGAAACTGGCTGAATACATAGGTCCCATTATCAACTGCCAGGACTGTTTATTAACCCAGACCAATGGACATTTCTCAGTGTCCTATTAATTGTCCATTTAACAAGGAGGTATTGAAGGACAATGCAAAAATGAAAACCATGACTAAACCTTTTCCTCACCCCTTCAAGGTGGTCTTCTACAAAGTCAATCAATATTGTTGTTCAAATTATAGAGGCATTTATTACAGCTGTAGAGTGCTCAACAAATTTTGACTGTGGTACTGGTTTTTAGATGACTGACATGTCTACTAAAATAAAATTATTATTTTTTTAAATATGTGACATTTCTCCAAAACATTTAATCAGGGCAACAATGGTCGCACTTGCGACTGGGTCCTGGCATATTGCCACCGTGAGGGGGGCCAAGATGGCAGGAAGCATACATACCAGCCAACTGTGTCCATGATGCCTGCTATGCAGTGAAATTGGGAGGAAGAGTCTGATCAGCATACCTGTAGTGCCCGTCATCTCCCTCTGATCCTCACCACTCACAACTGCTGCACATATTCATCAGCACCCTGTAGTGCCCAGCATCTCCGTCTGCCCCTCCAGCCAGCAGTTCATGCTATGCAGTGGAGAGGGGAAGGGCCTCTGACCTGAACAGGTATCAGTTTCAGTGCACAAGCACAGCAACTTACTTGTGCACTAAAGCCGGTGCCTGCCCTCCCTTCCCTTCTCCACTGTATAGCGTGAACTGCTGCCTGGAGGGGCAGAGGGAGATGGGGCAATACAGAGCTGCCGATCAATATGTGTAGCAGTGGTAAGTGTCCATGGGGTGACCACTGCTCCTCTAGGTTGCAGAGATGTGCTGGGGGAGGTTTGAGGGTGCAGAGATGAGCAAGTTGGTACAGAGGTGTGTTAGGGGTGTGGGGGGTGCAAAGATGTGTGCTGGAGTACATAGATGTGCTGGGGGGTACAGAAGCTTGCCAGTGGGAATGAAGGCTTGCTGGGGTGTACAAAGGTGTGCTGGAAGGATACAGAGGATGTTGGGATGTACAGAGGTGTATGAGGGGTACTGAGGTGTGGGGGGTACTGAGGTTTGGGGGTGCAGAGATATGCAGCAGAGAACATAGATGTGCTGGGGGTATGGAGGTGTGCTTGGGGGGGGGCTTCAGAGATATGCTTAGGGTTATGAACACATGTTGGGGCATACGGAGGTGTGCTGGGAAATACAGAGGATTCTGGGAGGTGCAGAGATGTGTGTGTGTGTGTGTGTGGGGGGGGGGGTATGGAGGTGTGCTGGGGGTTTCAGAGGTGTACTGGGGGGGGGGGTACAAAAGCTTGCTAGGTATGGAGGCATACTGGGGAATACAGAGGATTCTGGGAGGTGCAGAGATGTGTGTGTGTGTGTGTGTGTGTGGGGGGGGTGGGGTATGGAGGTGTGCTGGGGGTTTCAGAGGTGTACTGGGGGGGGTACAAAAGCTTGCTAGGTATGGAGGCATACTGGGGTATACAGAGGATTCTAGGAGGTGCAGAGGTGTGCAAGGGGATGCAGAGGTATGCCGGGAGTATGGAGGTGTGCTGGGGGATACAGAGGATGCTGGGAGGTACAGAGGTGTGTGTAGGGGGTGCAGTAATGTTCAAGTGGTACAGAACTGTGCTGGGAGGTATGCTTGGGGTACAGGGGATATCTGGGAGGTACAAAGATGAGTGTGTGTGTGGGGGGGTATGGAGGCGCCCTGAAGGGTACCGAGGCATTTTGAGGGATGTGGAGATGTGCAATGGAGTATGGCATTAGGTGCCTCTTGACGAACCATGCCCATTTTAAATGACCTGCCCCTAAATAAAATATGTTCTCCACCTACAATGGCTGGCTGAACACATAGCAAAATAAAGATGTCTCTGAAAATGTTTTGAAAGGTTGGCAACCATGCAGGAAGCGGGCCTGCTGCAGCACATCTGAAAGGGTCCTGCTGCAGGACCATAGTAAAGGTCCTCAGGATCAGTGAGTAGGGCCCCGGGACCAGTGGCAAGGGCCCCAGGACCATGGTCTGTTGCATCAGGGCCCTGAAGGTTCTAGTTATGCCTCTGTTGTTGGATGTTGCTGTACTGTGAACCTTTATATTTTGTAAACAACTTTCTCATATTTTGCTGATTTACATCTATCCGACAAATGAAAACACATGACATTCAGTTATACATTATCACAGTGAGATGAGGCACAATGTAACTAATTAAGGATCTTTAGAAACATGCACAGGTGTATCCAACCTTTTGACTTTCCTGGGCCACGTTGGAAGAAGAGGAATTGTCTTGAGTCACGCATAAAATACACTAACAATAAGGATATCTGATGAGCAGAATAAATCGGATAGAGCGCAAGTTAACAATCACTGATATAGATAATGTACCTATCTGAGTAATAAAACGTCAATTTTTGTATTATTTTTTATTACAAAAGTAAAAGAGGGCAACATAAAACTAGTGCAATATTTATCACTGTTTTTGATAAATTAACACATCGATATCTGGTACGATGGATGTAGTTGAGCAATACTCACTGAATTCTCAAGGTGCTCATCAGATATATTGGTTCTAATTTTTCTCTTTGTGCGCTTTATCCTTGACATGTTGTGACCACATAGTGGTTCACAATTATAGGTGCTGCCGAAAACTGATGACATGAATAAGGCATGAGTGTGAAGAGTGGGAGATTTTTCTTTGGGAAAATAAAACTTATAGATTTTGCGAAGATAAAACTTAAAGTCCAGTAAAGAGACACTGTAAATTTTTCTTTGGCCGCATGTGTTCGTTAAGTGTAAATGCATTTTTACATTCCCCCCTGCATTCATAGCTGTTTTTGGCCTCATGCAAACCAAGAGCTGCAGATTGGACACCTCTATGTTAAAAGAAAACCTACATGTCATAGACATACAGAGGCTATCCTGATGAGCTCTTTCTGAAAATGCTAGTTATCTGCCATTGTGCTCAGGACCAGGCTGATAGGGGCGAGAGAGAGTCACACCTCATGTTCTCTGGTGGTGGTGTTTGTGTTCTGGTTCTGTGGATCCTGGTTCTGCTTGCTGTATTCCACACACTGTGGGACTTGGTTGTCAAACCAAATACAATGACTACTACATCTTGTTCCTATGCTATTTTCCATGGACGAAAAAAAAATTGTAACCCTAGGGCCAACAGACAGGGACTGTCAATTTTGCATGGTACACCATCCCAGTCATTGTTGGTGGGGATGTGCAAGTAAGAACTCATTTCAACTCCAGGTGAAGGTAGAGTGCAGAAGCACTTTCTCACTGCACTGGTCATAATGATGTTGTGGCCTCAATACGTTTTGAAATGATGACCAATCAGCTTCTAACATCAGCTTGTTCAATTGAGCTTGACAATAAACCCTAGAAGATGATTTGTTGCAATGCAGAGCTGTACCAGATTCTGTGTGCACCAGTTTTAGTAAATCTTCCCCAATGTGTTTATAGAAGTTGTAGAAATTACAATGTAATCCAAGCTGGAAGAAATCTTGACTTTGACTACCTGCTGCATATTCCCTTCTTTTAAACTCGTAACGTGTTCATACATCCTCCTGTATAGAATTGCTTAACCTTTTTACTCTGGAGGAACCCTTGACATAATTTTCAGGTCTCAGGGAACCTCTGTGAGTTCAGTAAGCTGTTGATATAATAAATGAATAATTAAGAATGTGGTACAATATACAGTATTTAACACCCAGGGCAGATCATTAACAACCCTTGCTTTATATAACACACTTTTAATAATAATTGCCATAAAATAAATGCAGACAGACTCTCTTATGTTAGTGGCTAGAGGAGAAGGGCCCCTCTACTTCTATGATTGAATGAGGAAGAATACCCCTTACATTGGCAGACTTTGGGAAGAATTCTCACTGGTGGTCGGTGGGAAGAATGCCCCATTTCACAAGTGGTTAGTGGGAAGAATTCCCCCGTTACAAACAGCTAAAAAATACGATTGTGTAAGTGGATACTTACCTGAGAGACAAGAAGGAAGGCTTCACTGGTGCTTTAGCACTGATGTTTCCATCTTGTAGAAAGTTGTTGACTGTTTTTTGTCTGGTTTACATAGAAGGAATGAATTCAGTTTAGTAAATAATTTAGGTTTTCACATTATCAAACATGCTATATTCATCTAATGAGACATTTTCTTTTAAAGGAAATGAAAGCGAACTTTCTCTGTTACCAAAAGATTCAAACAACAAGGCAAGGCGTGTGATTTTGAGACGTGCAGTTTTTTCAGATGATCAAAGGAAAGCACTTGAGAAGATGTTCCAAAAGCAAAAGTATATCAGCAAAACTGACCGAAAGAAGCTTGCTGTTAATCTTGCTCTTAAGGAATCACAGGTAAAGTTAACCCTAGCAGAATCTAAAATGGCTGATCTGCTAAACTCTGTGTGATTTGTGACCTTATCCTTTTAGCCACATAATTAATGCATGTTTGTTAAAGTGTATATGTAATCAAAACTTTTTTCGGATGAAAGATTTAAGAGTTAGATTTCAGGTTGGGTTTTTATTGTTAGGAGGAGGAAAGTAATGATAGACCCAAAGAGTATAACACAGCAAAAATAATAAAGTAAATAGAACTCAAACTGCCTATTGATCTCTTGACCATTGAGCTTCAACAATCAGATGCAGTTAAAACATATTAGAATGCTACTGTATATCCAATATCCGGTGCCTTGTATCCAGACCAATAGAAGTTTTTATTGTTTTTTCTTTCCTTGCTAGGTAGACTTGCTTCTCTGTTTGTCCTAATTACCACTGTTACTGAGAAAGTAATAGGAATTCTAAAATGACAGCTATCTAATAGGATAATTCTCCTCACTTTGTAGAGATTTTCTTTCCTTTCTTGTTGTATCTCTAGGACTAGAAATTAAGATAAACCGCCTAAATGAGGCAGACTACAAAAATACTCTGAAAGGGATTATAACCATCCCCTACTCTTTTCAAATGAAAAAAAAAAGAAAAAAGCTATACATGCACTTTAAAGTAAAATGTCAATTTCTAAAGTATGCTGTAAATATTGTTAAAGTCCAATTGAAGTCTCGTTACCTTTCTGACCTTTTTATAGTCCAGTACTCCCATGTATCAAAATCTGTGGTTAATTTCTGCTTTAAAAAAAAAAAAAAAAACAGGATTTTTGATACCACATAATTGCTTGATTGAAGTGAACACAGCTTCTCCGTATTCCCTAAGCTCTGAGAACATATACTTTCCTAAGGGAATAGTCTTTACTTCCTTAGTAAATCAATGGCAGTTTTTATCTGACTGCATATATATTTCTGTGATTTCAGTTGGGCATTGCGGATAATTTTGTAGGTTACATATGCATGTATTTGGTGAATGCAGTATTCTCTACCTGAAAGGAACACTGTTATAGCATCCCAAGGTGCACAAGTCACAGTAGCCAACACACAGGAGAAATGAAGGATTAACTGCCAATCTGGAAACTCTGAAATACTCTACATACCTAGACATTCAGTGTTTGATAGCATGCATGGTCTTGCTTGAACTCTTGTGGGCTGCTCCGATTTGGTCAGCTCTTTATTAGTGATAATAGGGTTTCCTTCAGCCTCCATTCCAGGACCAGACTGGGACAAAAAAATGGGCCAGGGAATCGTAGACTGAGCAACCCTTTTTTTTTAAAACCAAATTACAAATAATGACAACTACCATTTTTTCCAGGGGCCAGGGTGAGGTGGGAGTGGGGGCAGACAGTAGCGGTGGCGGTTGGTGACAGGATATTCATGGAGTCGGTCATCTGCACTGTAATGTAAAGGGGTACTGTGATATAAAGGGGACGGCACTGTAAAGGGGCACTGTAATTATTACAGTGCCCCTTTACAGTGCAGTCCCACTGAACTCTGGGAAAAAAATATTTATAGATATTTGCTAGGTGTGTCAATAAATCACCTCTAATGAGGTGTGTCCCATATGTGGATGGCTGCTATATTATAAAAGCCATCATTCAGCCCCAACAGTATAGTAAGCATCAAACTACAGTTCCTGAGATTTACAATTATATCTTCATACAGTTCATACGGTAAAGGCTATGTGTGTTGCTTACGACTCATGTACACTGCAGCTCCTAAACTGATGTTCAGGAGCTGTTCAGCGTTTTTTTTCAGCAGCCCCTGAACTCTCCTTCATGTTTTCCTATGTGTCCATGTACACATAGTCGTTTACAGTCATTTACAGGCAGTTGAGTTTACAGTCGTTTTTTTGAATGCAGAAAACTTGCGTTCAGGAGTAGATTTTACTGGTGTTTCAAATGCCAAACGCTTGTAAACGCTTGTAAATGTGTTTATAAGTGTTTGCGTTTATAAGCGTTTTTTAACTGTTCCATGTCCAGATGCTGCCCAGAGCCTTTTATCATCATCAGAAATGCATGCAAAGCGTTTTCCATGTATTCAAATGGCCCTAGTACAACAGCGCAGTCATTTCCAGGTTTCGCATGAAGGAAAAAATGGTAGAACGTGCTACTTTATGCTCATGATGGGATCCATAGTGAATACAACCAGAAAAGATAGGTAATCTCAACAAATACTGCTCTCTCTGCTTCTGCTCTCTCTATTCTTCTCCAAATGTCTGACATAGTTAATTTTTTACAATTTTTCAGTGCATTCTGGGCATTTGGAAAGGTCTCCTGAGGTTATCTTTTAAAAACGCTTCTAAACGAAAATGCACATAAACGCGCATAAACGTGGTATGCAATCGCGGATAAACTGCCGTTTTTTAACCTACGTTTTCTAGCAGTCAGTTTCCATCGTTCAGAAGAGTTTTCCAAACGCCCCGTGTACATGAGCCCTTACAGTCTTCCCACTCCCTTCATAAATCTCCTTTTTATTGAATACAAGGCATTTTGTCATTTGAGGAGGGGAGAATGTTATGTTCATCTGATCATCCTTTTTCCTTCTCTAACCACAGAACATCTTGTATTCAGTGAATAGAATACAAGATGTTTTATGAATGGAGTTGAGGAGGGTGGAGCAACCCACATAGCCTTCAGTGTATGCATTGTATGAGAGCTGAAATTGTCAGCGGTGCCGGAAGTAATAATAACAGCAAAATCAGGTCAGTTTAGATTTAGATTGTTGACTTATCACTATAATCTATAATGCTGCATGCAGAGAAAATACATATTTGCATAAACATTGTGTGATTTAGCTTGGTTCAATTTAAACTATGAGCATTACTAAGGAAGTTAGCTTCAAAATATTGTATCTTTCTATTTGTTCACTTTTCCTAATAATTCAATGAAAGAAAAAATATATCTTTTTTTTTTTTTTTTTTTTTTTTTACTGGCAAGCTGTGTATGTCATCTTTCCAATGAATATCTTACAGAATTAAACAGTTAATAAAAATGAAATGTATGCTCTGCTGAAAAGCTAAAGTTCTTCTGATCGTATGTTATTACAACTCACTTTACATCAACAGGTTAAAATCTGGTTCCAGAACAGAAGAATGAAATGGAGAAATTCCAAGGAAAAAGAAGTTCTTTCAAACAGATGTGTAAATGATGGACATTTAGAAGAGAAATCTCAGGCCGACCGCGTGTGTTCAAGTGACAGTGATTCGTCTGAAGTGCCACACAACAACAGGAATAAGGAGAAAATATCAAGCAAGGCAGTACAATTAGCAGAACGACTCAAGCTTGATTGCACAGAACAATCTCTTAGAGACTTAAAGTGTCATCAAGGCAAACTACACTGACAAGACTTGAAGGATTTTTAATGGAACAGTGTATATATTGAAACATACTTTATCCTTAAAAATACAACATAATTTCAGTTTGAAGAGCAGTAATACTTTTAGAAGTTTTGAACAAGTACATTAAAGATACACTCCAGTCAAAATTGAAAATAAAGTTTCATAATGCTTATAAGGAAAGTGCCTACCTGTCCAAGGCATTTGTTTGCAATCCAGAAATTGTTGTAATAGATAAGGCCGTGCCATTTTTTAAAATAATCTTGTTGCTAGTAATCTGATGTTCTGGGAACAGCAATTGTTAAGATAGCTGATACCTCAGGGTCAATGCCAGTTATGGAGAGCTCTTTACTATTTCTCACAAACATAAAGGACGTATAAAATGATGTGGTCAAAAGAAAACAGGTCCATTTAGAAGCACCTATGGGAACTTTCTGGAATTGTGTTGCATAAGGCTGCTTTCACAGTGATCTGCTTTTGATGCGTTCTCCAGTTAAAAAAGCAACAAACAGAATTACTTCTAGTTCATACATAAGGAAACTGGAGGTAATTAAGAACAACTAAAACGTGGTCTACAGAGACAGACAGATGCTTGTCCGAATGAACTCTCCAGCCTTATTGCTTCTCCACACATGGTGCTTGACCCCAAATGAAGGCACCTGATTCTAGGAGGTACATGAATTTGATCCCTACAATGACATTTGTCATGTGGAGGCACGCTGGAATAGGAATGCATCCTGTAGACACTCTTTATGAATCTCCTGAGTTTTTTGCACAATACAATAAGTCATGGCCCTTCCGCTCCAAGTCTGAATCGTGCTGTACAAGGTACAGACAATTATCTATACTTTTTTTCTATGCAATCATTTTTAATTGGCTGCATAAGTGATAAAATAATTTTTTGTAATGTTTGCCAGGAGTTCTTCTTTAATTTGGTTACTTCAGGAGCCTAGCTTCACAAATCACATTCAATCATTGGAAAAATGTCCTTATTTAGCATTACGGTAAGTTCATAAAGTCAAGCTTAGGCTGCAGCTGAGCTCATACTATGACCATTAAAGCAGAATTCCACTCAAAAGTGAAAGCTCCGCTTATTTGCCTCCTCCCCCCTCCACTGCCATATTTGGCACCTTTTGGGGAGAGCGGGTACCTTTTTTTACAGGGTACCTTTTTTTACCCACTCCCACTTCATTTTGAACAAGCACACAAAGCATTTTAAAACAAGTCTCCATTCCCTAGTGTAGCTATATTCTGAATATGTGATTTAGAGTGCATAGTGAAAAAAACCCATCATGCTTGGAATCTCATTTAATGTTTACTGAACAAGAATTTTTTTTTGTAGCTTCAGGACATAGCTTTTTAACCTTCCTCAGGGCTTATATAACCATTTGTGGGTTAATCTGAGGAAAATTTGGGGCTATAATGAAACCAAAGGGGGGAAGATTTTAAAACTGGTTCACTCAGAATCTGGTGTAGCTGTGCATAGTAGCCAATCAGCCTTTAACTTCAGCTTGTTCAGTTAAGCTTTGGCAATAAAACCTGAAAGCTGATTGGTTTTTATGCACAGCTACACCAGATTTAGTAAATAACCCACATGTGTCAGAGTCACCTGAAAAAAGTGAAGGCAGCAGACTGAAAATATCTTTTTAAACAATGATTCCCTCATTGTGATCAGACCTAGGTTCTGAACCAGGTTTTCAAATACCTACTTTCCCAAAACCAATCCTTATTCCTACTAAGTTCAGGACTACTCCGTATCTACCAGCCCCTCTATAACCAATGAAATTGTTGAGAAATTCATCTTCAAATTTTACAATGAAAGCACTGCAATTATAGCTCATGCCCCTTTATTATCAAAGGCAGTAGGGATTTGCCAGACTGCCAGCCCTTTCAGGTAAATAAGATACCCAACTTCAGATTCTCTGTTGCTGCAGAGTTCAAGGATAGCTTGTTTTTTTTTTAAAGAACACTGATAAAAATAACACCAGGGCAGCAAATATTTTATAGTCAGATCACACTAACATGTACTGAAAAGGATTTAAAGTGTTGCTAAACCCAGGACCCTGCATTCACTATTTCTGGTCTCCCACAGTACACAGAACATAGAAGTGCAATTATTTTAGTAAATATAAACTGCTGAATACCATTTCTCATCAGCAGTTAGAGCAGTCTTGTGACTTCTATCAGTGACCAGCAGAGCACCGGTTAAAGCTTGTAGGTGGAGTTTTCATTCTCCACTAAGAGGATGCAGAACCCCTGACCTCTGTCTGGACAGTGCTGATTGGCCCTGTGCTGATCACCTGCACTCTCTCAAGGAAAAATAAAACTTTCTAGCAATACACTAAACAGAACATGTGCAGAGTGTCTACACATGATATGTCTTTTCAGGAGATAAGAGTGGGGCACTGGAAGAAGGGGAGGATCAGAAAAATCAGGATCAAACAGCATTTTTACCCAATGCAGAGGATTAACACCTTAGGTTCCACAGTGAATATGTCAAGCATGCTTTACTGCATATACAGACTGATTTTACTGTTGTGGGTTTACTAACACATTAAATATTTATTTTAGTTACTAGCCTCATGTATATGTGACTATTAAAAAATTTGATTTCTGGAAAAATATCAACTGAAAGTGTCTGTTGAAGCTTGTTATGTTCAGACAGGATTTTAAATAATAATGTATGATTGCATACAGGGCTGGTGCTAGACTATTTTGTGCCCTAGGGAAGACCAGCTTACCCCACCCCCCCAAAAAAAGTAAAAAACATTTCTAAAAAACAGTAGAAAATATTAAATTAACAAAACATGAAACTGCTAAATTTATTTTAATTTGCAAAAATAAGTGCCATAAGATGCCACCAGCACCAATATTAAAGACAAAATCAGCGTCACAGATGGACTAAATCTGTGGATGGCAGTGGACGGGTGACAGTTGCAGTGAATGAAGGAAGATGGATCCACACTCTGAGAGATCCCAGGCTGGAATTCCCCAGACAATGGGGGGAGATAAAATGCCAGGCAGCCTAGCCTGCACACTTGAACTGAGCAATCCCACACAGTGATGACAGATTTGACACAACACACCACCACTGACACAGATCAGCAGGCACTAACACATTGCACATGTGATGGATGGCTGGCCAGGTCATGCTCACGCAGACATGAGACATCAGAGTCAGACGTTACCTTCCTCCGCAGGCTCAGCTTCATCTCTGCTAATGAATGGGAAGAGAAGCGCTGGAACGCCACAGTCATCAGCAGCAGCCAGCTGGCTTGCAGTAATAGACTGAGTCTGAGAGAAACACTGGAAGGAGCTCAGCTGCTACACTGGCTCCAGACACCAGGCATCTTCCTCTGTCCGTTCTTCCTCAAGTCTGCCGCCCCTCCCCTCAGCTGAATGATCATTCATGATGTGGCGGCATCCCACACAGAGAGTACTGCGCCAAGGCGCCCCTAAGTGGCAGTGCGCCCTAGGTGACTGCCTAGTTTGCCTAGTGGAAGGACTGGCCCTGATTGCATAAGATACAAATTTCATAAGGCACAGCAGAAAAATGTAAAATATATATATACATTTCAGGGCAATGATATTATACCAGGTTTTTATGTTTTACGTGCCTGAATTCAAAAGTAAATGTGCAAACCAGGCAAAATTGCAGTTTGTGCCTTAAAAAGCTTATATGGTCATATATGCTTAAATCACCTTGTTGCTAGTAAACCAATGTTCTGGGAACACAAGTTCCAGGGGATCAGAATGTCAATGTTTTCTCCATCTCACTCTTTGTGGCATTCTTACTGTCTCTCAGAATGTGATAAATGGATACATCCTACCCAGAAAAAAATATGAGATCTATCCTGCAATGGCTTAAAGCCCAGTAAAATTAGTGTTTTTTTCTGCTGGAAGTTACATAGTTAGTCCGGTTGAAAAAAAGACACACGTCCATCAAGTTCAACCATAGGAAGTGTAGTTCCTAGGTAGCAAAAAGACAGTTTAAAATTAAAGGACCACTATGCTTAAAGTGGTTTTAAAGGCAAAAGGGTTTTTTTTTACCTTAATGCATTCGCTGCATTAGGGTAAAAAACCTATTAGGTGCAGTTTTCCCTACCCCCCTCTCTAAATACTTAACTGAGCCCGATCTTGTTCTTGCGCTCCTCACTGGACTGAGTGAGAGCAGCGGGAGCCATTGGCTCCAGGTGCTGTCAGTCAAATCCAGTGATGAGGGAGTGGGGGGCAGTTCTGAGCAGCACTGTGTGTGTCAATAGATGTACAAAGTGTGGCTAGGGATCGAGCCTGTACAAGTACACCCCCCAGGAAGCAACTGATTATGCGGGCGCTTGAAAGACAGGAGGAGCCAGGAGTACCAGCTGTGGACCCAAGAAAAGGAGCATCAGGGCTGCTCTTTGCAAAACCATTGCACAGAGCAGGTAAGTATCAGATGTTTGGTATAAAAAAAAGTCCTTTACAATCACTTTAAAATGCATTTACCTTTTTGTACTTTATGAACTACTGTTTAACATTTTATGAAAATACCCTTACTGTTTTCATAGCGGAACTAGATTTTGGAAACCTAGAAATCCATAGCATGCCGCTTTAGCCTAAATTGGCCTTGTCAGTTGGTAGCATTGTGTCATCTAACTATTGCGTAGGAAATCAGCTGTTTGTTCATTAATACCTCTTATATATACTGATGAATTTGGTCATTGTGAAAATCAATGTTCTCTTTATACAGGGCAACCTTTGGCAGATTAGGTTGTACCGGGGCATCCTGTAAAAAGTAAAAAAGAAAAAAAATTATTATTATACAGTTTTTATAAAGCGACAATAGTTCGCTCAGCGCTGTACATTACAAAGGGGGACAGAGCATGTGACAGAACAATAACAATACAATGCAAAACATGAGGGGATCGAGGGCCCTGCTCTTTCGAGCTTACAATCTAGGAGGGAGGGGATGGTGGCACAAGAGGAGAAAGCTGTGGGGGATGGGGGTGGTAGGAAGAGTGGAGGAG